AAGGAAGTGATAAGCACAAATATTTTTCATTTTTAGTATAACTCACATTGCTCAAGAGAAGGAGAATTATTGAACAAGTGCAACCACCAAATTCCTATTTCAAATATTACTGAAGATGACTTGGATTTCATTTTGCTAATCTTCAACTGAAACTGTGTGGATTGATGCCAAGAGATACAACAACTGAGTAGACTTAGTTCCTACAATTCAAAGCTGCAGGGGAAAAGTACTGATTCCCAACATAACAGAAACATTAAAAAAGCCCCAAAAAAGCACAAACCACTGCTTGCTTACATCAAGTGTAACATCAGACTTACAGTTGTAAGACAGGATTTCTTCTGTGTATTTGTTGTGAAGTTTCACTTCCTTAGTTATGTTATAAAGCAGCACATACGTGTATCATACAGATGATGCACAGTTGCATCCCACATTTTAATTAGGCTGATCTTACACACAGGAATACTCCTGTGTTCAGATACATCATGAAAGAGGACCCACATGCTCTAATGGCCACTAAAGATAGTACTTCACTCAATATCACTTAAGCCTTCTAGGCCTCAACAGCCAAATCCTTCCTTCAGTAATTGATTATTTCACCATAAATACTTAACATTGCTCTAATGCAGGAAACTCTTTGATGTCAGCCTCTGAATACTGTAATAAAGCAACCCAGAAGCACACCCTGTACTGCACAGAGCTGCATTTAGGATCTTGAGCACAGCAAACTTCTCTGCAGTGAGATATAAGATGTTAGTTTATGCAGAGTCCCAACAGTATGTTAAGTAACAGAACCAAGACACTGGTGGTTTCAGCACTCCAGAGATTCCAGATTTTCTAGGTGAGCAGGTGTGCTAATTATAAGTCTCCCATAAATATTACTCCATGAGCAGAAACAGCTCAAGGAATTGGAACATCTCCCATACAGCAGTAGTTGTTGCAGGGAGAAAAATCCCAGGATTTAGAAAACTAATGGAAATACCATTTAAAAACCAAACAGAAAAGGCATGTATTAAAGGCCTAGCTACGTAGTGTCTATTTCCAGTGAAGTTTCACTCTAGATGAAAACATCTAGAGTTTTCATCCCTGAGTTTACCATGACAGCTACTTAGATGGAGCAGGAAGAAATGGCTTTGTAGCTGTTCTTTCTGGAAGTGTTATTCAAACCAAAATGCCCTTTTAGACCTCCCCTCAAACACACACGAGTGGAAGGCACTGTGTTCAAGTGCAGTGGCTAAAAATACACACACAAAGTGTGTGAGGCAATATAACTATGGGCAGGAGGAGTTAAATCTGAAACACAACTAGTGTCATGAACCCACAGGTTACTGAGAAGGCTATCAGCAAGGTACGTCTTCATCCAAGCACAAAAGAAAAAAAAAAAGTGATTTTAACTGAGCCAAAACAACAGACAGAATTGTCTCTATTCTGCAGATACCTTTAACAATCAGTTTTTATATATTAACTGAAGTGGCAACTCCACTGCCAGTTGTGGATGCAATAGCCGTTTGTTTATTCCTGAGGGTACCAGAAGAAGATAAATATAGCAATGTCAGAAGTGAAAACTATGGATAGCAGTTTCCAGGTTCATAGTTTTCCTAGTAACTGTTGGTGTAACTCAGTAAGTTCCGTAAGCAGCACAAATGCCAGACATCAGCACTTTTACTGTTACCACCTGAACTTGACTGATGACACTGCTCAAAGCACAAAGGTCATGAACCACTACTTCTGATAAGGTGGAGAATACAAGGGGTTTGTGCTGAGAGACAGAACCTGTGGTAGAATCTGACCTTATCATCTTGACAGTAAGTAATCAGTTAAAAATCCATACCCAAACACTTCCACCACTAAATCCCTAAACTGAAGTCTAGCCTGGATTTCTCATGAGAATTTTCTCCTTTGACCTTGACAAGCTGGTAGGTTTAACTCATCACTCAAGTTATGGCCCTATATCTTCAAATGCTTGGCAGAAAGGCTGCAGCCATTATCACAACTTGGTGGAATGACAAGAAAAGAAAATAAGCTAATTTTTCAGAATACAAAACAATGCTGTTTTCATGTTGATGAAAAAAATCATGTTAAACTACATCTGAGACAGCCTTGTTCTGAAAAGATCAAAGCTTACTTTTAGCCATGATTAAACTTTGAATGAGAGAATTCTTTACTAGCCTGTATCCAGAACAGTTATTTTACTTGAAAAAATTCTCAGTAAGAACAACTGTGCGCTACAAGTCACACAACTGCTACTCACACAACTCACCTTTGCATATCTGCAGCCAAAAAGATCACAAGATCAGTATAAAGAAAGACAAATACTGCTAAGGTGACAAGAGGAGGAAAAAAAAAAAGCTTTCTACCAAGTAAAATCTTTCTGCCATCACTGCTGATATTACTCTTCAGCAGTACTCAATTATCTCCAGGGTCGGTGTGCCCTCATATAACTACCTAACCAAAATAAGAAGCCTAGTGACTTTGAAACACATAACAGCATTATGGCAAACTGTTTATACAGATCTCCAAAAGATCTGTTTGCTCTGAATCCAAAAGATGATTGTCAAATGAAACTTAACAGAGCATAAAGTACAGTTAAATCAGGCTTAAGAGTCACTTTCAGATACTGCTGCCTGAAAATGGCATTGGTAGCTCAGTTATGGAGTTTCCAGCTACTGTTTAGAGGTCAAAAGCCTGGGAATGCCTTTAGGACACAAAAAGGCACTTCACTCTTGGCTTCAGAGAGTCATGAAGAGTCTCATGCTCAGAGCAATATCCTCAGGAGCTTGAACCGGTGCGTGGGTTTATAAAGGAGATGCTTCTTGCAGCGTTAACTTTGCTCTGCTTTCGGTTATGCAACTTCTGCTGCTGTATTAAAGGCAGCAAACAAACATGTGGCATACACACACGCTCAAAGGGTTACAGTCTCCCCTAAAAAAAATGTTTTAATAATAAAATTACACTGGGTAGTTAGAAGAATTTATCTGAAAAAGTCACAGCCGGCACTGCACAGGAGAGTCCCGAAAGTTCAAAGCCCTCAAACTTCAGTCATCGACTGGCATCAAAGCCATCACACACGACAAAAAAAGCCCATTTGTGTCACGAGAGACCGATGGACAAGCACGCCCAGGGAACCTTCAGCTGGCAAGCGGCGCTGCACACACAGAGGCTTTTGCAGCGCCCGAGCCCCTGCAGCAGCCACCCAGCACACCAAGGCAGAGCCACAGAACTGCCGGGGCTGGACGGCAGCTCCGGGAGCACCCGCTCCAACACCCCGCCAGGGCAGGGGCAGCCAGAGCAGGAACGCGCCCGGGTGGGTTTGGAACGGCTCCAGAGACGGAGCCGCCAGCAGCGGCAGCAGCCCAGGCTCCCCGGGCCGGGGAAGCCCCGCAGGCACTGACCCCCCGCACGCCGGGAGCGGCGAGGCAGACCCGGGAGCAGACCCGGGAGCAGACCCGGGAGCCGCCCGCCCGCAGCGCTGCCGATGCACGGCGACAGGGACCCGCGTCCGCGGCCAAAGTCCTCCCTCCTCGTCCTCATCCCGCACGCAGCCGCCGCCTCAGGCCAAGCCCTGCGCGGTCACCCGGGTGAGCGGGGAGCCGAGACGGGCAGACAGGGCAGAGGACGGCCGGGGCGGGGCAGGGACAGCAGGGGACGGGTGACCGTCGCTCCACCGGCGGCTCCTCCCTTCCCTTTCCCTCCTATTCGGCAGGTGCCAGAGCCGCGTCAGCCCCCTCCCAATGGGTCACTCACAGCTTCAGGCTGGCGTAGGCCGCCGCTGCCGTGGTTCCCACCGGTGCCGCCGTCGCCATCCGTCCCCTCGGGCTGTCCCCGGCCGCCGGCTCCGCTCCGACCCGGCCGCTCCCTCCCCGCCCGACTGACGCGTCCCTGGGCCGGAGCGACGGAGCTCCGCTCGGGACAAACCTCCGCGGGCGCGCTGGCGAGCCCAGGGCGGGGCGCCGCCTATGGCAGGCGGGGGTGGGGCCGGGCGGGCTCGGCGACGCCGCCATTGGCTGAAGCAGCGCGAGAGAATTGTGCTGAAGTGCGCGGGGGCAGAACTGACTCCTCGAGCAGGGCCAGTGGCGCAATGGATAACGCGTCTGACTACGGATCAGAAGATTCTAGGTTCGACTCCTGGCTGGCTCGGCTGCTCCTTTTTCACCCCGTGTCATTATTTTTCTCTTTTTTCTCTTGTACTTCGAGCCGAGGCTGCTGCCTACAGCTCCCCCACTTCTGTACGTGCCCACCGCTGCCACCTCCTTGCCCTCAATGTGGTGTGGGGGGTCTCCAAACCTCCCAGGGCTGGGTGGAGTTTCAGAGTTTCCTGCCCTTGGTACCCCCTGCTTGGGCACAGCTGCTGTCCACCTGGCCACCCTTTCTGATCCTGCGGGCTATGGGGTGTGGCAAGGAGCAAACCTGGGGCACCTCCTGGCCAGTTCCACCGGATCCAGCTCTCTGAGTGTCATGCCCAACGTTTGGGCAGCTTCTTGCCCCAAGGAGGGGGAACTATAATTAGTTATTCCTATGTATTTGCTTCATTTTAGCTGATGGCTCCAAGCTGCTGTGGTGCTGCTTGGCCAACATCCAGTCTTCGGGCGTGAAGCATCTGGTAGCTGATAGAAGGGGCACCATGGGAACGTGGGAACAACACCCAAAACACTCAAGGAACTCATCCCCACCAATGTTGCAAAGGAGACTCCCATGCTGGGGTCCAAGCCTGCTCCCACATGCAGCACATCCCTCCCCAGACCCTCAGCCTGGGACCTGGGCTTCCCCAGGATGCCAGAACAGGACAGCCTCCGATGGAGCTGCAGCAAATACCAGCTGCCTGCAAAGGACTGGAAATTCCCAGTGAACTCTACTGAGGTGGTTCTCCCCACCCTCAGCCACTGAGGTGGAGGGATAGGAGTAAGGAAGAGGTTGGGAAACTATAATTTCACAGCCTAAGTCCCCTCACTATGGACTCTGGGCAATGACAGTCATTTTAAGTTTAACAAAGACTCGACTCTGAGTGTTGCTTAAGATACTGTCTTTAATCACGAAATCACAACAGGCCAGTGGCTTCATTCTGCTACTGGTCTCCATTCTTTATAAATACTTAACAGCACAGAAGAAAAGAGGGCTGTGTTCACAGGAGGCTAAGGTTAGTTACACCAGCACAAATCCTAAAATACTCTCTCCCGGAGCGGAGCTTTGAAGGAAACATAAAATAACTAGTACCATTCAGTATCGTTATGCAGGCTCTGGATTTGCTTTCCAGACCCAGAAAGGCAGAGCCTGGGGGTGTGTGTGCCTGGTCCCTGCCTGGCTGTGCTCCGCAGACCTGCTGCGGGGGGAGGAGGGCTGGTGCCGACAGGGCTGGCAACTGCAGCCCAGTCATCCCTCTGCCAGGGCCACAGGGCATTCCTGCCTTTACAGGACTTTTTGCCGTGTATTTGCACGTGGGGACAGTTTCTTCCCATCTCCTGTCGTGTCTGAGTGGGTTGCAGATGCATTGCCACACCAACTTCTGACTGCCCTGGAAAAAAGCAGGGTAAGGATTTTTATTGCTCAGGAAAGCATTGCTTCTCCTTAGGAAAAGGGTGGGTGAGCAGTTCCAAGCTCCCTCTGGGTTCGTGACAGGAAGATGTCTGCCCAGTCAGCTTCAGTGAGGACAGCCAGAACTGCTGCAGCCAGTGAGCAGCAGCACACAGAAATGGAAAAGAAAAATGAACGCACAAATGCTGTGCGATGATGAGAGATGCAAAGCCCTTCCCAGCTTCTCCCAGTGACACAGGCACTCACAGGATGGGGGAAAGGGATGTGTATCTGGTCATAGCCCTTCTCTGCCTGCAGCTACTGACTCCAGGGGTATTGCCCAGTGATGAAGCCTGGGTCAACTTGGCATTACATTCACGCACATTAAAAGGCACCTCCAAGCACTTGGCATGGGCACAGAGGTGTGAAAGGCAGGTGTGTCACAGGCATCATGTGCATGGACACAACTGCACACACCACCCCAAAAGTGAGCACACAGCAAGTGGTCAAGGCTCACATGGGATTTTTTTTTCCAAAAAAAGATAATCCTTTCTTTGGAACAGCCGGCCAGTTTTCTTGGACACTCAGTTTTCTTTTCTTTTCTTTCTCTTGGACACCCAGTTTTCCCCTTTTAAGGCAGCCACATCACACCTGATTGCTGATGAAACTCCATCATTTACAGACTAAGCAGCTATTCACTTTGTAGTAAAAAGGTCTAAAAAAAAAAAAAAAAGCCATTTAAACCTTGAAAGACTGGGAAGACATTTTAAAAGCCCCCAAATGAAATTCAGAAACTGAAGAGCCAAAGATCTTTTCAAATGCTCCTTACCAGAGTGTTAGAAACTGCTGCTCCCTGTGTTTTAACATCAGGGCAATTTCCAAATTGCTTTGATCACAGGTGCTTCTTACACTTTAAATTACACAAAAATGTCTGCTGCTTCTGTAGCTGGAGCTTTCTCCCGGCTCGTATGCAAAAATCCCTATTTAAATGAGTTTCTGTATTTTAAGCAATAGAAATTTAACAGCATGATCTGAATGAAAACATCTTTTAAGCTCTGATTCCTGAAAGCAGGCTTCAGAGAATTCACTTGAATAACTATTTGCATGAGAGTTACTCATTAACAGCACAATGGGACTTCCAAGGGTCCCTTACTTTAAAGCCAGTCAGAAGAACTTGCTGGGGGAGGAATCAGGACTAACTTTCCACAGCATGTTTTCATAGCTTCTTAATAAATTAAAAGGCAACAAGGTTCACATGAACAGCAAAACCCAATGAGATAGGTGGAATTTAACATGTTTTTTGAAATTCTTCTGAAGAGGACACAAAGCCCCACACTCCCAGCTCCAGCGCTATTTCTCCCTTTGGGGGAGCTGCCTGAAGGCAGGCAGTGAGGGCTTGCAGCTCCACAGATGCCTGGTGGAGGGTCAGGAGGAGAAGGTTCCCCTGTGGAGGATGCCCCTGCCTCCTGCTGTGCCAAACCCACTGCCAGGCAGCTGCAGAGCTGGGGAGAAGCTGGGGAAAATCATCAGGGACTCAGACACTCACAGCCAGGGAGAAATAATATTGAGCTTAAAGGAATTCGACCTCCCAGAGATAAAAGCAGTGCAAGTCAGCACACACAGGGGTGCAGGGCAGTGCAGTAGATGCTTTAGCTTCTAAACCACAAGCTCACAGGCTCCTTTTTTCAAGAGCTTCACATTGTCACTCCCAGCTCTTTTTAAATACAGGAAAGAAGAGTGTTAGCATTTAATAATTTATAGGGGACCTTTAAACTGGAAGTAGGGCAGCCTTCGTTTCCCCAGTGCTGACAGATACAGGATGGCTGACAGGAGTAAGAAGACACTGTGTGGGAGCAGAGGCCAAACTCTCTGGTAATGCAAAGAGGGCTCCTGCAAGACATCTTGCCACGAACTGCTGCCCTTGAGGCTTTCCATGAAGGAAAATTGTCCTTCTCTCCTTTCCCTTCTCTCCTGCTTATTTTGAGGTTTTGGGGAAGGCTGAAAGAGTGAGACAGAAGTTTAAATTGCAGTTTAAAAACAAAATACCAGTCCCACTAGTGTTTGCAGATCTTTACAAAATTAAGGCCAAAAAATGTGCACAAAGGCTTGATCTAAAAATCAAGAGGTAGCAAAAGCATGAACTACATAGCAGCTGGTCTTTCAGAGACAGCAACAGATGACCAAAGCTGGTGTTTCCAGCTCAGTTCAAAAAAACCACTTTGATATCTCGTTGCCTTCACTGCCAAAAGCAGCCCAGGGTGCAGAACCACCTGCCCAGGACTATGTGAATTATTTACTAGGGACTGTGAGCTGGTGTTATTTTCCACTTCAGTCCCTTCAGATAGTCCTGAGATCACAGTCACACCTGGAACACCCCCTCCCTGCTCCAGCCTAGCTGTGCTGCAGGACACAAGCTGATGAGATGCACTGGGGTGAGAGCACTATGGGATCTGCCCTGGCTGTTGCCCTCGATACATCCTGCTTGGATGCAGCACCGCTTACATTTTGTGTCAGATCCCATCCCATTCCTAACCAGCTAAATTAAAGTCTCTTAAGAGGGCTCACATATTTGGGGTCAATTTTACCTCCTCTAAAATCACAGGTAAAACTCTCAGAAGATATATTTCACAGTGCTAAAATGCCCTCTCTTGAGCTTTCAGTCACTCACTGAAGGGATTCATGTCTCCAGGAAAAATGGTGCTGCAGAGCCAAGCTACACCAAAGCTCTGGATGGCTCCTAGGGAGGACCAGCCTACAGCCCCAAGCTGCCATCCCCATCTGAAGAGCAGTGGAAAGAGGCAGCGGCACTAACAGTGAATGGGGCAGAGGGCTGGATGATCAGTTGGCACCATGGGCCCACCAAGCTCCTTGGGCTGGGGCAGTTTCACATTTCAGCCGAGGCAAGATGACTTACTAGTACAAACAGAGACAGGCAACTTGCTGCTACCTGACACCTGTGCTCCTCCAGATGTGTACATGTTGCTGTCTGACCATATCAAGTGAAATTCAAGCTACATCCATGCTATTGGAAAAGAGGTTTGGTTGAACTGTAATGGGTTTTCAGCATGGGAACCTTTTGGGTGTCCCAGTGCCACGGCTCAGCTAATTTATTGTCATTTCCACACTGAAAATATCTTCAAGAATGTTATCCCATCCTTTGCCAGTCAGAATTTACATCTTCAGCAGAGATACATGAGGATTTAACTAATTTTCCACACAAAGAAAGAATAGTTAAGATCCATCTGAGACCTTAATTAAGAACTTTTTGTTACACAAAAGTACCAGTACATGAGGGCCTGCACAAATTTGCCTATAAATCGGGGGGGTGGGGGTGGGGGTGGGGAGGTGGTGTCAAGACAAGAAACAATTTGCCTTCTTGCTTTCTCAGCAGAATGGAAAGTAAGGGCCAAACTCTCCAACCCCTTGCTCAGATAAGCTGTTATTATTCAATGGAGCAAATCTGTTTATGCCAATATACTCATCTGAGTTCAGGTTGTGGAGCTGGGCTCTAAATCCCTGCGTGACAAAGCCTTCATAACAACCCCAAGTTTGCTCCCCAAGCTCTAAATAAGCACCACTATGAAGTGGCTTTGTGCTGGGTAAACACCATGAAAAGGAATAGCCAGGCTGAGGGCTGAGCTGTGAGGACAAACTGGAAAACTCAGGCAACTGTTTGTGTACGGAGAACTTTTTTTCCAAAGCGAGCTCCGCAAGCAAGTATGAGGGTGGATTTCCCCCATCTCCACACTTTCAGCATCCCGACCTTTCCTTTCCAAATATGATCCACTGTTCAGATGCTGACACAGCAGTCTGACCCCTATGTGTCGTGCTGACACACGAGCCTGGGCCCCAAGTCATTGCAGTAGCTTAGCCTAGCTTGTTCCAGTTTTTTGTTCTGTTTGAAATGGGATGTTGGCCTCCAGTTGCCAGACAGCATTGCCTGGTTTGTGCTTGGAGTTGGTACTTTTACAGCCAGACTTGATACTGGAGTTCAGGAAATTAACTGAAAGGTCTGAGTGTGCCCTTTTGCACAGACCCCTTTCTTTTCTTTTCCTAAAGAATTAATAAAAAGAGAGTGTCTGAAAAGCTGGTACTAATAGGCTGGTGTCCTTCAGGAAGCCTGATGAAATGTGCTTTCAGGAAACAGTAGACTGATGGGATGTCCCTGGCAGGCAGGCAAGCCAGCCTCTGGCTTTTTAATTGTGTATAGCATGACCAGAGTTCATAGGCATGAGAGCAAATTGTGCTTTTACTGAAGAATCTTCCAAAATTAGTCCAGAGGAATCTCCAGGAGGCAGAAAAAGACATGTAAAAGTAACTGATCGGTTTAGGTAACATGCCACGTTCTTGGTCAAGTAGATATGGTTTGATACAGCTGAAACCCACAAGCATACAAACTTGGTGAATCCAGCAAAAATCTCTCATATCCTTCGACAGGAACATTGCTGACTGGTGAAAAACATGCACAGGAAATCAGCTGAAGGTGGGGAGAGGGAGAGCATGTAACGACTCTTCTGTCCTAGCTTTCCAACTCTGGCCATGCTGACTAGTAGTGGTGCTGGTAGGCAGCTGCTGGGGTTGTGCCATTCTCTATGTGTTTCAGGTGACAGGAGTGACAAAGCAAATGTTCATCCAGTGGGTAGCAGCGATGTCCGTCTTCATCGTTCAGTTCCATCCCACAGTCCTGCAAAGAGAGGCCATGCAAATTATTAGAGCTTGTGTTCATCATTCAGTGTCAATTGGGGTCTGGCTTCTAGGAAAGTGATTTTGTGACAAGGACAGATGACACCCAGCCAACAGCTCCTTCCTAATAGGTGCAGCATGTACCACAAGAAGAAAAACATCTGACATAGGCATTTTGATGGGCAGCCTTGTACAAATTTGTTTAAAACAGTTTTGTTGAATAAGCTTTATCTTGTGGTAAGGTGCAAACTCTGTATTTTAAATATGCTTGTGTCTCTTTACACTGCCAGGTAAGATTCACCTCTTCACATTACAGTTGTACTGATGTGAAATCAGCTTGTGGAGTCAGGGGGTCTTTTCACTGCATTATAAGAACAGTGAGAAAAGACAACTATTTATTTTAATTCTCAATCAGAAATATGGTAGCTTTCTGAGAAGCCCTGCACAGACGAAATGGTTTTTAAGAGCTGGCATCTCCTGGAATTTTTTCTTGTGCAGCCATATCCTTTCTCCACCCCCAAACACACATTCATTTCTCATGAGAGTGAAGGTAACTTATACCCCATGAGATCAGTCACCACTTTAGCATTTTTCAACAATCTGAATTGGAAATCAGATACACTGATGCGATCTGGAGCTTGAGGCTTCAGAGAGGCAGCAACAGACCTCACTAAGTCACCGTGCTTCCTGCATTAACAAATAAACTGCCAAGTTTGAAAAGCAATAATTAACTCATTGCCCGTAACTTTACAGATAGCAAATGAAATTAGAATTGAAACACATTGCTGCAAAAAGTTTTGTCTTCAATCTGGAAATTTCTTAGTTACTGACAGAAAGGGTCTCACACTGAAAGGTTTGAATTGCTCAGCTACTGCTGCTGTAAGGCAGGAGATGTATTTGCATCTTAAAAATAATAGCAGTTATGACTACTAAGTGCCCACTCCCTGAGAAAGTGCTGACCTACCTCGCAGTGATAACATTCCACATGGTAATCCTTGTCCATGGACACAACCCGAATGGTCTCATCAGACCCCTGTGAGCATTTGAGCAAAGCAGAAATTACAAAGGATTACAGCAGGATCAGACACATGCACTCTGGAGATTGCTTCCTGCAATAAAATGAATGTGGAGGAAATGCATTTGGGCAGCTGGCTGGAGACCACAAATAAATCCTACCACTTGCAGTTATTTTTATAGTAAAGCTTCATCATTGACTGACTGCAGATATACTCTAAAATGTGACACTAGTAGTGTAAAAATGTTTTCTGTTTAACAGTAACATCTATCAGATATCACAAATTAATGACTTGGTAATTTCAATAGATCACATTTTTCAGCATTGTAAATTAGTTTTGTCTAAGATTCATCTCCAAGTATTAAAATGTGTTAGTCCCAGAGTAGTCACACAGAGGACATTCATGAGTACCATCAGCATCTACTGACATAAAGGAAAATTCTGAACATAAAACCAGCAGCAGCATAATCCTGCAGGAGATGAAAAACGCAGCCTGGCCAAGGAGGAATAAGCTTCATCACTGAACAAAAGAAGGGTCACATCTCAAGAGGAGTGCATGAGCTTAGACCAAAGGGTTGCACTCTGGAGGAAGTGACCACCTCTCTCCATTCGCACATTCGTCTTGACACATGGTCAAGTGTGAAAGAGAGCAAGGCCTGACATTCCCCCCCAAGGGGATATGGAATAAAAGGCTCTCACCTCAGAGGGCAGAATGGGAAGTCCACATGCTGCACACTTTGGAGCTAAAACTCTGGAACAGCAACAAGAAATTGAAGGCATGTTATGGATCAACATAAAAAGAGAGGTCTGTATGTTCTCAGTGATAACACAAAAAGCTGCAGCTGTAAATGACTTACCCACAGGAAAGCCTTGCATCCTGAGATCATAAATTCATTTTAGCATTTATCTTAAGTAATGCTTGGCACACATTGCTCAATCAGGCAAAAAGAGACCTTATATTTTACACTTAGTGCCAGAAAAAATACAACATTTCCCTATAAAATTCTTGGCTGCTACTGAGAGATTTGGAAAAGAAAATGAGGAGGAACGGAGCAGGACTGTCCCCAGAAAAATATATTAAAAGAAGTGTCAGCCTCTGGGCAGAAAACTTCTGAGAAAATACTGCATAACTGCACAGCTTCTTAAGGCCTTATAACACAATAATTAATTAAATTAAATTGCAAGGAAATATGAATTATTTCTGAACAATGATGGCGTACAAGGGCACTAATCTTGGCAACAGGATTGTAACAGCTTTAGTCTTGGCACAACACAGAAGAGCTCCAATGACTGCCTGAGCAACACTTAATACTCTTCCTGCTCAGAAAATGGAGCAAGAACCAAAGCAAGCCAGAAGGACACACAAAATGTATGCAGCCCTAATACCAAAGCTACCAGCCAAGAGCACGGCCATTTTATTTTAATGTCTAAATAAGCAGTGATTTTAAAGTGGATTTATCAGTTGTTTAATTTAGAACTGGGTAAAATTTTTACTTTGCAGATTCAGTGGTGATACCTTAAAAGACAAATTCAAGCGTTCAACTACTCAAAAAGTAAATCACATAGATTTCCACAGGCATTCACAAGCTTACCTTAAAGCAGACTAATTTTGTACATCACTGAACACTTCAGGAACACTATTTCTCACTCTCTCTGCTTTGCAGAAGGGACAGCTGAAGCCCAGAGGTTATTTGGCTTCATCAGACTTACACAGGAGTCAACAGCTGGATAAGAGGAGAGAGGAGGAATTTCTAGGGTCTAGCCCCGTCCTCAAAACTTCTAACCCTGCCCCTATTTTACTAATCTGCATTGCTAACTAGCTGAAAAGCTAAATTAGAGGCTTGCTGCTTGGAACATCACTGCTGTTTATTTTGCCCTTACTTGTGGTAATCTCTGACACAGTAGATTTTGTTTTCAGAGTCTACAGTGAATGGCACACCGTCCAGACACTCGTTGCAGATGACGCATCGGAAGCAGCCTGGATGGTATGATTTCCCTAGAGCCTGCAGGATCTGCAACAGAGCAAGAGAAAGGAAAAATGCACATCAAGAGCCAGTAAAGGTGAAAATAGTAAACACATAGCTTTACACGAGATAATGCTGCATATTCATCACCTGGGCTGTGTCTTTTTTCCCCTGTCTCATCTGAAAAATTAGTTAACAAGGATGGAAAGGGCAGCTGGAATCAATACATGGCACCTGGCTCTAGAGATATTAATTATTTTCATGGGTACAAAAACAATTTAGAGACTCAGTCAAGGTGTTTAGCATGACAAAGGATAGAAGTGACAGAATTTAAAGGAAAGAAAATGATTTCTGAAATCAACAAGTAGAGAATACTTAGCAAGATCACAAGGCAAGATGTACCAGCCAAACAAAAGAAATACACTTTTATATTCTCCATGAGAAGTTGAAACTAGTATTATTGCTAGGTTTTCATAATTCCTTACATATTGAAGGGCTTTGTGCTCGCTTGCCTGGCTTTCTAATTAGCACAGACTATGGAAATTGTGTTGAACTTGACAGCTGCAATTCACTACCTGGAATACCATGGTCCGTCAGTAGAAGGATCAAACTTCTGAGTAGGAAACAGCTTCCAATTGTAATGCTTTCCAGTGTAAGCAGGCAAACAAAGATAATTAATTACAAGCATTAGAAAATGTTGGGAGGCATGCTGTGAACCAGAAATTCCTAATTTCTTTGCCTCAGCTGTAGTCTTATACCCACCAACTATACCAGTCTCTCTCTGAATGTCCTGTAACTCAGTGCTGACCCCCCTGAGCATCCCCCACCCCATGCACATCTGGAATGGATGGTATCTGCTGTAGGCTAATCCTGCTTCATAGATCTAAACTGAGGTCTGGATCATACACCCTGGGTCAAACCTGCTCCCCAGAGTATCAGTACCCACAAAAAACAACAAGGAAGTGACTTAATCCAGAAGACACATGGAAAGCCACAGCTTGACTGCAGGAAAGACAGGCTGAGGGAACTGCACTGATGCTTCACAGCAAGGGAGCATTGCAGAGCCACGACACTGCTGAGCAGGAAGCACCAACAGGATTACAGATACGCTGTCCAGAGAAGTCCAAAAGGGATGAAAGACCTGGAGGCTCTGCTTTTCAACACACACTGAAAAAAGGCAGAGCAGTGTCTCTGCACAATATACAGTAGGGTGCCAGATTCACTTCCTTGAAAATATCAACAAAAGGCTCAGTGGATTTTCCTTCTGATACCAGTCTTGCACTAAGCAAACTACCAGACGATAACAGACAGCATTGGATATAAATATATTTTGCTTTTGATGCATTCTTGTAAAAAGCTGTGGGAGTTTTTTTCTCCTAAAGTAATGATCACTTACCATGTCCATTATCAAATGACCACAAATGAAACACCTGTCAGCCGACTGCTGGAAACCAGAATACTGCAAGGACAGAAAAGAATTAACTTAAAATTTCACAAGACCACTCAAGCATAAACAACAGTGTACTGTGGAGTGTTATTTGCATATTTGTTATTGGTCCTTTTTCTGTGCTCCTTAGACAGGAAAACTAAACTTTCCAATGCTTTTTTCGTTAATAAAGATGTGGATGGGTTTCCAGATGATATTCTATCTATAATTCTGACTGCCTAGTATCAGAAAGAGTACAAGTTCCTGCAACTTCCAAGTCCAAAATTTAACTTTAAATTAAAGTATAAAAACAAATACCATAAATGTACATGCAAATAAGGCAGTTACTAATAAGACTAATTTACATGCTTCTTTGACCACATGAATCTACAAGACAAGAACCTACTTGTGTTTATCACATATTTATGTCACAGCATCAGTATATATAGGCTTGGAAAGCCAAGTTTTTCTTTGGTTACAGGGTTATAATTCTGTTGAAGCTTCTCTGAGGTCAGCAGTACTGTTCCAGTTCCCTGTTAGGACAGCAGTCAAGTCTGGCCCATAGCAACTTTTTTGCTGTTTTTCCTGAGATCTGTTGGTAAGGAACTGTCTGTCATGTCCATGACATGCACCTTGGGCACAGCACATTATCTGTCTGAATGAAGGAAATGCAAACTTGGAAAATGAAATACGTTTGGTGCATTTAATGCTTTTATTTTCATCCTATGTAGAATATACTGAAGAGAACAAAGAAGATGATCTTACCCCTCTCTGACAGAAATCCCTAGGATTCACCAATAAGTAAGCAAATACAACTTTTTCCTGACTCAAGGAAGGCTTCATCTACCAGGACTCAGTGGCAGAAGGGTATATGGATTTTTATTTGCACCAGCCAAGGAGAGGACTGTGGGATTGCTTCATGCTTAGGTACACTCACACAAAATCCATTGAGGGCAACAGAAAGATATCCATTAGGTGAAAAAGGAAATTTACCCATTCATTCTTCTGTAGCTGTTCATCTCACTCCTGCATTCTCAGCATGGCCACAGAGACAATGCTTTGAAGGAGCCATCACAAGAGGTTATGGCTTCAGCTAGGGGTGTTTGCCACAAAACCAGGGGCTGTCATTGAACTACCTCCAGCACCACATGTGGGCAGCTGCCATGGCTGGGGCTGGCCCTGGGAAAATGTTGGAGCAGAAGGACCAGGCAGGATGCTGGACCAGGAGTGTGTGAAACATAGGCAAAGCTGACAGGCAGAAAGGCTGTGAGTCTGCTGGTGACACTGAGATGTCTCATCAAAAGAGTCAACTGGGTGCTTACCAGGAAGTCTTCTTCACAGAACACCTTTCCATTGACAAAATAAAAGGCTTTTCCTCTCAGCTTTCGACCTAAGGAAAAAACCACAGAGATAAGAGAAAGATCAGCAGAGAGCAAGAAGAAAATGGGATCAAAACCTGGCTGCTGAGAAGCAAACAACAATGAAGACATCCAAGGACAGATGTCACACAGCTGGAAAAGAGCACCTAACCCCAGCATCAGTCTTCCCAGACTTCAGCCTGCCAAACTCTCTTCCACTGGTGGTTGCTGATGAATACCAGATGGTGGATATGGACAAAAGTCCCACCTTTGGGTAGGAGGTAGAAGCTTTGCAAGCTTGGACCACCTCCTGGCAGATGACCACGTGTTGTAACTCTGGGAAGAGCAAGGCAGGATGCACTGACTCATGCTGGAAAACACCCAAGGAAAGGAGCAAGGAGGAAAGAAGAAAGGGCAGAGAGAGAGTGACCCACATTTGACTTAATTCCTCAAGATGTCACGACCTTACTGTTTTGCTATGAGCAGCAGCTGCCAGACAATGCACTGCAATACCTGAGCACTTGCTCTGCCCCAGCAGAGTGCAACACTAGAGCACTCAACAAGCTTCTCTGCTACCTATCAGCACATTTGTTACTGCAGCTGCCAACAAAAAGCTTTGAAACTATTTTTAAAAAATTGTAAAATCCAAATGTCATAATTAACACAAGATGACGAAGTTTTTCCAAGAAAGGACTCTACATATGGAGAAGATTTGTATTTACTTCAGCTTTTGTGTTTATGCCTCCCATTCACTGTCTGTTTTCAGTTCCATGTAATCACAGCAATGTTTGCTCACACTGCTACCACTCCTAAACTTCCCCCAAGGAAGAAGGGCTAGGTTTTGTTTGTTTATAAAAAGCTGCTCTTTGCAGACTGGTTTCCTTATTGAGTCCAGGGTTTGAAATGGAAGCCTGGCATTGGAATGGTTCTGCACAATGGAGCCCCAAGCGTGGGCCAGGAGACAGTGCTCAGGGCACTGCCCGGGCACAGCTGGAGCAGGACCTGCTGCAGGCTGGTTTTGGACACCTACCAGGCACTGCTGGAAGGAAATTGGTTCTGAGACACTCAGGCTCAGAAGCCTCCTGCTTGACATGCTGAATGTGCCCAGTATCACCAAAAAAAGTGATTGTAAGCTGTGGAGTGTATAAATGTGAACATCACACCGACTGGATTGGGGGTTACTTTATGGTATGCACCTACCTGGCAGCCTTCAGCGAAGAACCACGCTGGCTGCAAGGCTTTAGGGAAAGGAGGAAGCCAAGTAAACCCAAGAGACAAGCGGGTTTTCAAGAAACAAGTGTTACAGTCTTCTGCATACGCCAGAGGGCACCCTCAGGCTGGGAAACAATTCGTGCTGATGTCTTCCTCTGCGGCTCTCAGCTTCTCCCTGCCCTCTTTTGGCATGGCTTGCCCACAGTGTCCCTTCGAGGTGAGGGAAGCACTTTCTCATCATACGATTGGGAAGGCAAGATGCAGGAAAAGCTCACTTCCCCATGCTGCACTGGGAACTGTCCCAGTGGAGCATCTCCAGGGAAGCTCCAAAGTTTTGCCAGTGAATTGAGCCAGCCCAGCATTTCATTGGCAGCCCTTAGTGCCCCGTCCATGTCCCAGGTGGTGGGGCAGGTGGAGGACAGGGCAGTGTGTTTTCTCATGGAACAAACTCTGGTTTGCATGTACAGGAATTAAACTGTGGGCATTGCTCAGCTCAGTGTTTACTGGACCAGTGTAGGAGCCTAAAGCACATGGCCCATCACAGTCACTGTCCCCCATTCTCTTCTAATCCCTGTCAGGGAAAACCATGTAACCTGAAGGTCAGAGATAACCCAGGGCACCAGCCCACCCTTGCATCAATGCAGACAATGGATTGAAGAAGGGCATGGAAGAAAACCTAAGAATCCTGAAAGCATCCTACTTTGATTTTTCTCATCTGCCCTATGTTGCCAAGGTTGCTGAAACTAAAATAGGACCCAGAGTTCAAAATAGGAAGTATCTAATCTGGGACATGTAATCTTTGTGGTTTATAACCCAGGGTGTGTATTTGAATGATAACCCCACCTGTGCATCTGCCTGTCCACAGGTAATCGCGGCATGCTCACCAGCAGCTCTAGAGCCACATTTTCTGAGGAGGGACAGGAGAGGCATGGGAATACCTGAGATTTGCATCACCTTTGTCAAGGGTGGTCCTAAGCAAGTTAACAACAAGCCTAATGCAGCAAGAAGTACTCTTGAAAACCTCCCACTGATTGAAATGCAATACTGGGATTTGGCACTCCCAAAAATGAAAAACAAACAAAACCATTTAACTCTGTTTTTAAATTACATGGTAGCAAGGGCTCCAGTTCAGTGCAACGGGCAGGTGCCCAAGTGACTTTCCACCTGCATGTAATGTATCTCCTTAAAGACAAGGTGACAGTGGTGAGGAAAAACAAACATGGGGCCATGCAACGAGAAACACTTCTTTGGATGAAGGCCTGGTGTGTGAGCAGCAGACATTCCAACAGAAGGGATGAGGTTTGGATCACTGCCACAATGCCATTCTTCCATGGTGACAAAAAAAGCATTTACCAGCCATTCTGCACCCAGTGTATTTTTAACATGGTGACATTAGCAGGTTAAGATTGATGGCAACAGACCTTTAGTGAAGGTGCCACAGCCAGCATGCTATGTCTGGGCTTCTGCTGTAAGCTTGTTCAGCAGAGGGATAAACCCTTTATAAAGGATTTATAATTTGGCCATTGGCATCACGTGAGTCCCTGAAGAGTTGTTGAAACCAAGAGCACTTTGAGGTAGGACAGGGATGATTTAATTACTTTTATTAGGGAAGAGGTAAGCATTTTAACTATTTTAACTAGTTCTCTATGACTCTCTTTAAGCTCCTGGCAAAAATGTAAAAGGAAATTAGCAAAACCCATGAGTAATCAGGTGCTCCTGCAGCAACTGTGGGCGTGGTTCATACAAACACAGCCCATGTCTTCCCAGCTGCTCTCAGCTTCTCCCTGTGCACTTCTAGGATGGACTCTCCCAGAGTCTCTTTGAGAGGAGGAAGCACTTTCTCATCATACAATTGGGAAGGTAAGATGCAGGAAAAGCTAGCTTCTCAGGCGGCGCTGGGGTCTGTCCCAGTGGAGCTGGGAAACGTATGTTCTTGCTGCAGCCACACCAGTAAAAGAAACGGCACTAGGACTGCCCCACAGTGCAGAGCAGCGTGGGAGTGACTTCTGTCCCTGCACTGAGCTCCCTGCCATGGGACAGTGCCTTTAACTAAAGCAGCCCCTCTCAAAAGCAATGCTTCTGACCGTGCCTGCAGAGGCTGGCACAGGTTTCACTTGAGCACGGAGATGATGTTTTATTTTCACCAAAAGGAAGGATTGAGATGTTAAATAGCATATAAGGAATCACATATTAATAACTACTTTCAACTCGTATCATGATGAAATATCCTTTGACAAACCCAGGAATATTTAATGCATGGTTTGCTGCTTTCAGGATCAATTGTTCTACTACATGTCTTATGCTGCTGGCTCCTGACTGTATTTCACTTTCACTTCACCCTAAATTTAGCTTATCTCACACCTGAAAAGATTCAGACAATTAAAACTCTTTGGTATTTCAACCTTACTTTCTTCACTTGTTTTTACAAGATATCTTGTTCATCTCTTTGACAGGAAGTTTGAGCCCTGAGCTTTTACGTACTGCTCATCCTTCACATGTCTGTCTAGTCTGTTTAGCTGTGGGACCTTCAGGATGACCTCGAGGTCATTTCGGCACCAATTTCAAAATATTTCAAGCTTAGTCACTAGTGCCTTTGTGCTAAAATAAACACACTTTGCTTAGCAGCTGATAATAGGCATACCATCAGGCTGGACTCCCAGGATGCCAGTGCTTTTGTCCACTGTTTTCTCAAATGATGGCTCTCTCCTTTTGAAGACCACGCAGAGAGAGTTTAACCAGGGACTTGAAATGTCCCTGGTAAGGAGGATCTTGAGAGATGCATAATTTCCTTGCTGGGGATTTGGACTTTCTCTTCTGATGTTGCTTTTCCATTATTTTTAAAAACAATGGGGTCACAAACCCATGTTCAAAGACAAGAGATAGCTCATCAATGCATACAATGGAACAGGGTCCTGTCTGGATCCCAGGGCTCTGGATCCCAAGGCTCCTGTCTAGATCCCAGGATTGCCGCATTGATGGAGAGGCAGTGTGCGGGCTTCACTTATCCCATATCTAAGCACCATGGAACTCCCTGTGGTATCTGCACAGCAAATGGGCAATCACTGCTGACTGGCAGCTTCTCCTGGGTCCCTTCCACAACGACAGCCTCTGCTATTACAAAAACCAGTGCTTTTTCAAGTACCACAACTGTAAAATAAATTTGGATACGTGATTACTGATGGCACGTTAAATTCAGCCAGCACGTGTGTTTTGGGAGCCCTCCATGGATACCCTGCTCACAGGCAGTAGGGTGTCCTACCATGTGCAGCAGACAAGGTCAGGCATCAGACCTGACTAAGCTCTGCTTAGTTTCTGACATCTGTCCCATTTCTTTTGGGCATTCTTAAAGCTGGATGCAGCACTGAGGCTGACACAAAAGTGTCAATATTTCCAATCTGCTCTAGAACTGAGCCTGCATGAAAGGGTAACACTTCAATCCTGTACATCCTCCAAATGAGACAAATGGCAGATATCCCAGGACACACCAAAGTCTTACTGAAAGCATGGGCAGGAGGATAGGATATCTCTGAGAAGAAACTGTGCTACGACACAGGAACTCCATTACCATGTAAGATGTTCAGTCTCTCTCAACTACACCAGCTGTATGGTAAAACATACCCTCTGTGCTCTCACCTTACATTTGAGGCAGTAGGAAAACAACCAAACAACCCAAGCAAAAAACCCTCAAAACTCTCAGGAAATGATCTGATGACTGAAAGCCAAAAACATGCACACGTAAGAAAGGTCAGCTGCCTCTAATGGCAACACAACCACAGATCCCCAGATCAGAAACACTGCAAAGTCACAGCACACCACACAA